AACTAAAAAAAAAAAAAAGACCGTACCCTTTTATGTAATGATGTTTACTTTGAATTTATATTAGTTCACACAAACACTCCATTCATGCTTTTCTTCCAGCCCTCCGGTCCAGTTTAAGAACCCATTGTGGCCCTCGAGTCAAAAAGTTTGCCCACCCCTGCTATAGATGGTTCTAGTATTTTAATTTTTTTTTAAATGCACATTTAACTACTGATTTTAGAACCGTGGTTCTTTTCTAGTTAATTAAATAAATCTAATCTATTTTATAAAATCCTCTGTTCAACTCTAGTTCTTGTGTTGAATGCTTTCCTGTTAGGTTTGCCTCCCTTCTTGCTGGGTGAGGCAGGTTGAAGCTGACATGCAGAGAAGCCGAGAGGCAAGAAGAGGAAGCGTTCTAATGAATTCTAGTCTGTACCCCTCCTGTTCCAGAGGTTTGATTATATAAACCAACAAATTGCGCTTGTTTGTTGTCACTTGAGGCCAAAGAATCCTGATGAAAATAAATAGAAAGCACCCTAGCCGGTTTGGCTCAGTGGATAGAGTGTCAGCCCAAGGACTGAAGGGTCCCCGGTTCAATTCCGGTCAAGGGCACGCACCTCACTTGCAGGCTGCAGAAGGCAACCATTGATGTGCCTCTCTCACATCGATGTTTCTCTCTCTCTGTCTCTCCCCATCCCTTCTCCTCTCTCTAAAAATCAATGGAAAAAATATCCTTGGGTGAGGATTATCAACAACAAAAAAAGGTAGAGAGTTAGAAACATCGATGAGAGAGAAACATCGATCAGCTGCCTCCTGCACACCTCCTACTGGGGATGTGCCCGCAACCCAGACACATGCCCTTGACTGGAATCGAACCTGGGACCCTTCATTCCGCAGGCCGATACTCTATCCATTGAGCAAAACCGGTCAGGGCTGGGGTCTCTTTTATTAGCAGCTGAATGCAATTCCTTACACAGACACTATAGACCAGCAATGGGCAAACTACGGCCCGCGGGCCGTGGGCCGTTTGAAATGAATAAAACTAAAAAAAAAAAAAAGACCGTACCCTTTTATGTAATGATGTTTACTTTGAATTTATATTAGTTCACACAAACACTCCATTCATGCTTTTCTTCCAGCCCTCCGGTCCAGTTTAAGAACCCATTGTGGCCCTCGAGTCAAAAAGTTTGCCCACCCCTGCTATAGATGGTTCTAGTATTTTAATTTTTTTTTAAATGCACATTTAACTACTGATTTTAGAACCGTGGTTCTTTTCTAGTTAATTAAATAAATCTAATCTATTTTATAAAATCCTCTGTTCAACTCTAGTTCTTGTGTTGAATGCTTTCCTGTTAGGTTTGCCTCCCTTCTTGCTGGGTGAGGCAGGTTGAAGCTGACATGCAGAGAAGCCGAGAGGCAAGAAGAGGAAGCGTTCTAATGAATTCTAGTCTGTACCCCTCCTGTTCCAGAGGTTTGATTATATAAACCAACAAATTGCGCTTGTTTGTTGTCACTTGAGGCCAAAGAATCCTGATGAAAATAAATAGAAAGCACCCTAGCCGGTTTGGCTCAGTGGATAGAGTGTCAGCCCAAGGACTGAAGGGTCCCCGGTTCAATTCCGGTCAAGGGCACGCACCTCACTTGCAGGCTGCAGAAGGCAACCATTGATGTGCCTCTCTCACATCGATGTTTCTCTCTCTCTGTCTCTCCCCATCCCTTCCACTGTCTCTAAAAACCAATGAAAAAATATCCTCAGGTAAGGATTAACAAAAAACAAACAAAAACCAGAAAGCGACTGCACAGACATGTTCTTGTGGCATTTGCCTAATTCATCCACAGGGAAGGCAACAGAAATGGAACAGATTTAAATTCTTAGAGAGGAAGTTGATTAAAAAAAAAAAAAGGATAATAATGAAGAAAAGACACAGGAAAAGCACCAGAAGAGAAAGATAAAAATGAAGGAATTAAAAATAATGAGTCCCAGAATGCTGCCTAATTTATCAAAGTTGTCAGCAGCAGTAGTTGAAAGTAAAAATATGTTCTTTACGAAAAAACAGACTAAAGTTACCAAACAGGATTAGATCTCATAGGAGTAATAAAAAGCAGACGTAATGGTCAATAACACAACTTTTTATTTCAACTATTTAAAACAACCCGAGGATAATACTTAAGTACCAAACCTCCTCTTAAAACTCTATCTGGTCATTTTGTATTCAGATATAATATACAGATGGTGTATTACAATTTAGTTCAAGATTATTTTTTTAAAAAAGCCAGCCATTGGTGTTAGCCCAGGGCAGAAGTTCAGGCATATGATATAATTTATAATTAAAAACAATTTTACCTGGGACACAAACAACTGTTTTACCTAGCCCCATTAACAACAACAATTGATTTACTATAATTACCTAAAATCTACACACCAGGAATAAAAATTCTATTACAACATTTGCTTTAAGTATCTATTCTTCAATTTGATTTACTATCATTACCTAAAAAGCAAGCCATACCTACATTCTCGCTAACATATATCATGGGCAGCCAGAAAAGAAAAGGATTACCTTCGATGCAAGGTTGTCCACTAATGCGATCATAGAATTCTTAAATAAGGTGGCAGCGGTCAGAGGGCGCTTGGTCACCTCCGTGATGCTCAGTTTGCCTTCGGGCCACATATTCTTCAGCACAGGATTTGAACTGAGAAGCACAGGAAGAGCAATTCAAACAGGCTGAACAAGAACTGCTAAGCAATCCTGCCAGACGTACCCTGGGAGGCACGACTAGACCACAGACTGAACTCGGAAGGCCTAATTGGAGAAACAATTCCATCCAGAAAATGATGCTGCAAGATGTCCAAACTGTACTGCATTAAAAAAAACCTCTTTGAAATGACATCTATATTATTATGATCTAATACCCTCAAGGAGTTAACATAGGTTTTACAATCTACACATAAAATAAAATAGTCTGGGTGGTAGTTACAGGAATGAGTGCAAACCACTAGCAGGGAAATGACTCTCAATGTTATGGTAGAAAACATGAACACCAAAGTATCTTCTGATTGAAACAAATGTTCACACAGAATAGGTGACACCACAAACAGGCAGGTCTTTCCAAAAGTCCAGAGAGGAAGGTAAAATAACCATCTCACACTGTCTTCTAGAAAGTCCCTCGCCTACAGTTGGATTGATGAGCCACTTACAGGTAGCACTGGCGGCTATAATCTGTTACTGAGGTGACACTAAGATGGCTGTGATCCAATTCTTGAAAGTGTGCTTCAGGCCAGCGTTCCGTGCTCACCACGGAATAGTCATTATGTGGCTCCGTGGAGATATTTTTAAAACCCGTGGGGTGGTCTCAACTCGGATTTTCTTCCTGTTTCATTTCGGGTGCTTTTGATTTTCAAAGATTAAAATGTGAAACCTTGCTGGCTTCCTGGAAACTTTTGTCAGGTTTTTCTTTTCCTTTTTTAAACTGGGGTTTGAGACTAGAAAAGAATTAACATGGGCATTTTTTTTTTTTTTTTTTGCTAATGGTGTTTACTACTGCCATTATTTTCTCCTGGTATAAAATTGAGAAAATTGAGTTGGTTTCCCAAATACCTAGTAAATTTCTATATAGAGCAGCTCAAAATAATTGCTGCAAACATGCTAAGGACCGATGAGGTGAGGGGAAGATTTACCGGGTCTCTGAGTGAAGACAGAGCCACACTTGCTGACCCTCCCTGCCACTTGCAAGAAAGTGGCTATAAAATAATGCCCTGATCTGTGGCTTATGGACCCAGTTTTTTCACTTTCTAGTTTTATTCCATAAATTTCCAAGGATATGGCCTTTCCTCTGATGACTATCTGTACAGTAAGTTGCAGTCAACAGATGTTTAATCTTTTTGCACCTTTGACAAGATCATCCTTATTGTGAAATGAATTCATCTTTGCTTGACGCCTTTAATTGTTGGATTTATGGAAGTTCCTTTGTTCGACTCTGTGTTTACCAAGCGATTAAACATTTTGGATTTTATGAGTAATGTTTTTGAGTCAATTAATAAACAGAATTCTCACTGCTGTTTTGACTTCCCTAGTGGGTTTTCCAATAGGAAAAAAAAATAGCTTGTCATACCAACGCAAGTATTCCATTCCACATGACCATTAGACCTTCCTCCGGAAATGATCCACAGGCTGTTCCGTTTCTTCATTTGTCCTGTGAGCTCAGGGTTACGTGGAACCACCCCTGGGAGGTGGAGCCGTTCCCGGGGAGCTGAACTGGGGCCATGATGAATTCCCGAAGGTAAGGAACGCCACCTGGGGCAGTCTCTTGGTACACAGCCCGGCTCTGCCTTCTTCCCTTAGCAACAAACCCACAGACATTGCCACTGGCCAACGAAGGCCATTTTTTCTAATTTGAGTTTTTGACGTTTTCTACACAGAGCCATGCCAGACTCTGTCCTTTGTCCCTCTAACCTGATAAGTTACAAACTGAAACTCCTTTCTGAAAGTCCCTTTTCCCCATGGCCAGCTCTTACAGGGTCCCCTCTGTCTGTAACATCCTAATGGCACAGCCCCATCAGCACTCCTGGTGGCATGCATGCAGATGAACCATTTCCCAGCAAAACTGCTGGAAACAACAGTCTAAACACAACGTCGCCACATTCTCATTTTCTCCATCCCCTGGAGCCCACTTCCATCACACACTGGCCTTCCACAACTCTACGGAGACCCGTGTTGTCAAGAGTCCCACTGATGTTCATGTCAGCCAACCCAACAGTGCGTCTCGGTCCTCACCTCACTCTGCTTTGGACAGATTTTTGACACGGTTTATACCTTTTTCTTCTCAACGCACTTTTTCCTTGGCTTGGCCTCGCTGACACCAGATTCCGGATTTTCGTCCTGCCTCGCTGGCCTGCTCAGTGTCCTTTGCTAGTTCCTCGTTTCTTTCTTGACTCTAAATGCTGAAGCGTCTCAAGGGTTCTTTTTTTGACCTCTCCTCTCTCTTATTTTTTAATCTATGTTTCCCCTAAATCCAGTCTTAAGACTTTAAATACTATCAATGAATTGATACCCCAAACCCCACCTTTACCCTGAGTCCCAGAGGCATACATGCGATTGCCTATTTGGCATTTTCAACTGGATGTTCCATATAATATGCACCTCCGGCATAAAATATCCTAGACGAAGCTCTCGATTTCCCTCACCAGATTAGCTCCTCCTCTTGTCTTCCCCCATCAAGCATCCCTTCCTCACTGCTCAGGCATCCGCTTGGATTTCTGTTTTTCTCTCGCATCACACATCCCATTCATCAGCAAGTCTCGTTGGCTCTACTCACCAACTATCACCCACTCTGACCACCTTACATCATCTCTGTCACTACCATCCAAATCTCAGACTAGTCTCCTAACTGGGCTCCCCAGTTCTACTCTTGCCCTCAACAGTGTGTGCTTTATAAGGTAGCCCTAGTGATTTCTTTAATGTATAAATCACATCTGATCATTAATTCCAATGGCTGCCTTTCATTCTTCCTCCTTACCTCGGCTCATAGACTTTTCATAACCCAGGCCCTGTTGACCTCTGTAAATACTCATTCCTTGTCACTCTCCCCATCCCTCTTTTTTATGCCACAATGACCTTCTGGCTGTTCTCAATGCTCCCAAACTCATTCTTACCTTAGCACCTTGGTACTAGCTGTTCTCTCTACCCGAAATGCTCTTCTTCCCCACTGTTCACAGCTCACTCCCCCACTTCATTCAGGTCTCTGCTCAAATATCACCTCTTTTAAGAAGCCTTTCCCACCACCCTATCTACAATGCCTCCCCTGCCCTTCCTTGCTTGCACCCTTCAATCTTTTTTTTTTTTAATCCTTGTTGAAACAAGGTCACCAGAAATTTTGGTTGCCTCCCCCCCCCAAAAAAACTGGGAGAGAGATCACCCTTCCACCTTTTACCTACTTTATTTTTCTTCACAGCATTTGTCACTACCTGGAAGTTAGCTGTCTTTGTTTACTGACTGCCCCCTCTACTAGAATATAAGACGCAAGGGGGCAGGGACTTTATCTAAATTTCTCCCACAGCTGTACTCCAGAGCATGGAAGAACGTGTGGCTCAGAGGTGCTCAGAACCTCTTTGATGATCCACTGACCAACTGACTGAGGAGACTTGGTAAATGAGTGTCTACAGTTCTCTAACCCATAGAAGTAGCTGGCTGAGCATCCTTCTTTCTTCATGGGCCTTCTTTCCGAAGTATCATGCTGGGTTTGAACTTGTTTTTTCCCCTTTTCTGGGATTGTGAGAAGATTATGTCCACTCAGAATCTACCATCACTGATTCCAGCTGCCACTTGGACAGCAGAGGGACCGCTTCGTTGGGGGCAAAGATACTACAGTGGGAATCGGAGTGTGTAAGGTTTTCAGCTGTGCCAGAGGTTATCTGACACCTTACATTCGCCACTGTCCCAGCCAGGGACTCCTCCTGAATATTCTGGTAGGGGGTGCCAGAAGGATGACAGCAGTAAACAGAGAAACTGAGGCCACCCAAGGGCAATCAAAGAAAATCATATTCATAGCAGGTCCCTGTCCTGAGTCTATTGATTGTTATAATTACAGAGTAATTTACCAAAAAAAATCTTAAAGTTGTAACATAAAAATAATCATGTGCATATATACTGTGCAATATATGTCAAAGTGTTTAATATAAAGATAGTAAAATTTAACCCTACCTGTTATACATCAGGCGCTTGAAATCTTGAAATAAAGTGTCTTTATTTTTGTCAATAAAACCGATGACAGAATAGCTAATGGAGGAAAAACACAGAAAATGTTCATTACTCACCAAGCAAGAGCCACATTTAAAGCTTTTCTAGAAATCTACAACACCCTCCCACTGTTAATTATGCAATCAATTTATGAGGCTGATTCTGTCCTCAATGTCCTGTGTTAAGGAACATCAAATTTTACCTCCTAAATAAAGGGGCTATTGTTTCTATTCTTCAAAAGCAGAGCAAACATCATTACCATAATTACAATTAAGATCATTTTCTACTGGCTTACTGCTTACCTCAAGAAGATGACTCTTAAAATACAGACAGCTGTATTTATCATCCGGCATTACTACGATAAAAGCAAACCAGCGAGACACAGGAGCTAACGGCCTCATCCGTAGGGAGGTCAAGGGGCTTGCCTAAGGTTCGCTCAGTGTGTTCGGGGTGGGATAAAAGAATCCAAGGAGAGCCGCAAAGGATGGTAAGAGCTGGATAAGCAGAGGAGAAAGCAGAAGGCAGATCACACAGGGAAATAGATTAAACAAAGGGAAGGAAGCAGGCACATGCATGACATTCTTGGAAAAAAAGGAGGAGGTCAGTATTCATGGTCTGGAGCAGTGGTTCTCAACCTTCTGGCCCTTTAAATACAGTTCCTCATGTTGTGACCCAACCATAAAATTATTTTCGTTGCTAATTCATAACTGTAATGTTGCTACTGTTATGAATCGTAATGCAAATATCTGATATGCAGGATGGTCTTAGGCGACCCCCGTGAAAGGGCCATTCGACCTCCAAAGGGGTCACAACCCACAGGTTGAGAACCGCTGGTCTGGAGGAAGGGAGATGAGTAAGGTCTTGAAAGCCCAGTAGATGGTGAGAAAGGTGGGAATGGGACCTGTTCTTCTGCAGTGACAGGCATGGCCTCTAGGTGGCGCACACTCAGGGCTGGGGGTATAAAAGTCATGGAGGATTCTGGGTGATGGTAACTCTAGATGCAGCTGCTTCTTACAGCTCTGTTTTCTCACCTGTCTACATGTCCCCTCGACAATCACATCAATGCACACAGTTCTCAGATCTCTAACCCCGAACCCTCGCCAATATTTCAGCCTTGCATACTTGCAAGAAAGTCCCATCATGCTATGCTGCCCCTGAGGTGGGGGGATGGGGGGGAGACTTGCCTCCCCAACTCTAGGTCTTCTTCCTAATACCTTCAAGCCATTTTTGACTGAACCCTTGAAGTCATCTGACTCAATCTATCGTGTAACCCATAAAACTCAAACTTCCAAGCCCTTATTTTGGGCCTTGAAGACTCATTATGATTTGATCTGAATCTATTTTTCCAGGCATTTCTACTTGTCTTTGCTACAAAAAGGACACGCTCCTGTCAAATGGACCCAGTAGCTATTTCCTGAATGTTTAGCACTCTTCCCACTTGTTCCTATAAAAATAATCCCCAGCATCCAAGGACTGCATCAAGGATCCGAGGCAGCATCGGCTTCCCTGGGTGTATTACACACAGCTAGAAGGATGATATCATTTCCTTATTCTGAATCCTGACAACAAGTCCATATGGCAACTATTTCAGACCATCTTTTATTGTATCAATGTAAGCATGTAAATGTGTGTGTATATATACGTATTTATATAGATAATATAAAAATGTATGTGTATAAATACATACACACACCACCATATGTGCATGTATGCGTCTTACGTGGAAAGCTCTTTGTGGGCAGGGGCCATACTTTATAAAGCACCATGCACACAGAAGATGTCCAGTAAAAACCTAAAAAAGGACTGGAGGGCTCAGCATAGAGGCAGGTGAGATTTAACACAGACACACCCAATAGGAGGCGGCAATGTGACCGTAGAGGATACACTTCAACCAAATGGGCCTAGTTGCTGAAAAGACATCTGGCCACAAAGCCTCACACACCCCCTTTTTACTAGCTCCCAATCCTATCACTGCTCCATCCCCAGCTCCTTCCCTCTTCTGCACTCAGAGAGGTCGGCCAGAGTTCTGGAGGTCAGGAAACCTACTTATTGTCTCAGCTCTCCATGAACATGCTGTGTAACCCTGGGTATGACTTTTTACACTCTCTGCATAGGTTTTCTCATCTGTAAAACGAAAGGGCTGGCCTGGTGGTCTCTAAGGCCTCTCTGTCCAGCCCTGCTTCTATGCCACTGCGAGCGAGATGAAAGCACCCAGTAAGCGAGGCCTGGGTTTGCAGTGGGAGACAGCTGTTCTTCCCTCCTCAGTATTCTGGAACCCGGGAACAGGACCAGAAAAAGAGGAAAATGGTGCCATACCAGCCCTAATGGCTAGTGTGACAGATGGGGTGATAATTTCAAGCCATATTATTTTATATGATTCCAGAGTTTTAATTTAAATCAGGAACAGCTATTAAAATTTCTTCAGATGTCTTTTCAGCATGTAGAGATCATCATTTGCCTTTTTATAGTTGTTTCATCTCTTCCTATAATGGGTTTTATGAATATAAACAGAATTCCTAATGTAAACCATAAGGAGAAAGAACAAGAGAGGCCTTTAAACAGTAAGGAGCAGTGTTCAGTGGACAAAGCTTACTAAGTACAGTGGGCTGAAAAATGCCCCTGAACAGCATCCATGCCTAACTCCTTAGACCCTATGAATGTTGACCTTATATGATAAAAGGTGTGGTTATGTGAGGGATGATGAGAGGAGAAGCTTCACAAGTGTAGTTTTAGCTTAGAAGCAGATGAGATTTAACACAGACACACCTAAGAGAAGGCAGCAATGTGACCACAGAGGCAGAGCCTGGAGTGATGGGGCCACAAGCCAAGGAATGCTTGCGGCTGCCCGAAGCTGAAAAAATGCTCTTCTCTAGAGTCTTCAGAGTGTGGCCTTGCCGACACCTCGATTTCAAATTCCTGGCCTGCCTAACTGTGAAAGAATAAATTTCTCCTGTTTAAGCCATCAATTGAAGATAATTTGTTACAGCAGCCCTAGGAGACTAAAATGCTAAGGTAGTTACATTTTTTTAAGTTATATTTTCTTGTCAATTTCTACTTTTATTGTAATCAGAAAATGTGGCTCCTGCAAATTTTACTTTTCAAAAAATATTTGATAAATAAAATGGCAAAACTGGTCATGATGAGTGACTCTCACTTCAGGGCCCGTGTGTCTGCTGCCTCTTCTGCTTGGAACTCCCTCGCTTCTCCCTCCTCTCTTCCTAGTTCTTTGCCCTGACTAAACTCTTTTACTTTGAGGACTCAGCTTGGGTATCACTTCCTCCAGCAAGACTTCTCTATACTCCTCTCTGGGGGAAGCATTTCTGCTCAGTGTCCCCATAATGCCTGGGCATCTCTGCCTTCCATTCATCTTCTTTATAGTGACCAACAATGTATCTGCTTATATCTTCCTCTACACCAGTGGTTCTCAACCTCCTGGCCCTTTAAATACAGTTCTTCATGTTGGGACCCAACCATGAAATTCTTTTCGTTGCTACTCCATAACTGTAATGTTGCTACTGTTATGAATCGTAATGTAAATATCTGATATGCAGGATGGTCTTAGGCGACCCCTGTGAAAGGGTCGTTCAACCGCCAAAGGGGTCACGACCCACAGGTTGAGAACCGCTGCTTTACACTATTACCTTCTTCAGAGAAAGGCCCATCTCATCTATTGTTCTATCCTAGTCCTTAACTTGGTTTATTTGTCCATCTGTTGATTTTGACTGACGAACAACTATGCCAGGAGCTGTGCATGGCCACATAGTGTGTGCTCAATAAATGTTTGAAAGGCAAGGAATGCATGAAGCGATGCCAATTTTTATTTTTATGTGGAAAGATTAAAAGAGGCCTATAAAATGACTGAAAATAATGCAAATGAACAGGAAAACAAACTATATTTCCCCCCGGTTATAATTTCTGAAGTGAGGTTGCATGCAAACATCACGTTAGGTGCCAAAGTAAGATACTCACACTACATCCCCTGCGTAATGTCGAATTCGAAAGTCCCGATCAAACTCCAGGATTTTGTCTGAGGCACAGAGCTAAGAAATCAAGAAGAAGATTATTTTTAAAACAGCCATTTACACTTTCCTAAAAATATATCCCAATTTCATTGAAGAAGATAATTTTGTTACAAAATCGTGATATCATTATGAATGAAATCACACTGTGTGGGGCTTGATTTAAATATTCTGCTTGTGTGGTAATGACTGGGAGTTTCACTAGAAACCCACACAGCACCCCCTGCTATGGAATATGGGCGAATGACCAAGTTCTGGACAACGGAAGGAGTGGAAGTGAGGTGAGGCTGTTCCAGGTCAAAGCTGGTAAGAAATGGGCAATCGTCCTCTGTACTTTCTTTTCTCCTCCCACTAGTTGGATGCAAAGAAGGACACAGGGGATGGAAGAAGCAGAAGATGAAAGAAGTGTGGGTCCTTGGAAGAGAAATAGACTTCTATTGTCTAAGATACTTAAATCTTGGCTGCTATCATATATCCTATATAATTAAAAGCTAATATGCTAATTAGACCGAACAGCAGAATGACCGTCTGGACACCCTCCCGGATGAAGCTGGGCCTGTGAGGGCCAAGCCCCTTGCACAAATTTCCTGCATCGGGCCTCTAGCATCCTATATAATAAAAGGCCAATATGCACATTGACTGAACAGCAGAATGACCGGTTGCTATGATGTGCACTGACGACCAGGGGGCAGGCGCTCAACGCAGGAGCTGACCCCTGGTGGTCAGTGCACTCCCACAGGGGGAGCACCGATCACCCAGAAGCCAGGTTTACGGCTGGTGAGCACAGCAGCAGTGGTGGGAGCCTCTCCTGCCTCCATGGCAGCGCTAAGGACCCCTCGGGGGATGTCTGACTCCTGGATGTAGTGCGCTGGGCCTCTAGTATATATAGATTTAAGAATAGTTTATTGATTTTTAGAGAGAGAGGAAGGGAGGGAGAAACATCGATGTGAGAGCACATCAATCAGCTGCCTCCTGCATGCCCCCTACTGGGGATTAAGCATACAACCTGGGCATGTGCCCTAGACTGGGAATCGAACCAGCAACCTCCTGGTGCATGGTAAGATGCCCAACCGAGACAGGGCTCTTGGCAGGCCAGCCTACCCTGACTGATACGGTTTCATTCTCCATGTTCCACTTAAGGAGGGCATTTAAGTGCTTGCTGTCTGCTAGGCATGTACATCTTTCAATCCTCACAACTGATATTTGAAGTAAGTATCATGAGCTTTCCTTTTCACACAAGGAAACTAAGGCTCAAAGAAGTCAGGCAATTGGCAGAAGGTCACACAACCATTAACTGGTAGCTCTGGAAGGATCCCTGGGACCGAATGTAATGTCTGTGCTTCCCATGCACACAGTAGCCTGGCTTATCTGCCTTCTGCTAAGCTGGGACCCCATTCAGGCCTGTCATTGCTTAGAGATCAACCTTGATTCCTCTCTCTCTTATTAACCTCTTGCTTTGTTTTAAGTCCTCATCCAAGGATATGTTTTTTATTTTACATTTTTTTTGAGAGAGAGAGAGACATCATTAGCTCTCTCTCGTATGTACCCTGACCAGGGATGGAACCTGCAACCTAGGTATGTGCTCCAATTGGGGATTGAACCCACAAAATTTTTAGAGTATGGGACAACACTCCAACCAACTTTTATAAAACGCTTTTATTTATAAAATCCCCAAAGGAAAAGGACCCAAGATATGTCTGTACTAATTAAATATTCTTACATTTGGATTCACAGTGATGAAAATATTCTGACAGCTTGGTTATTTCACTTCTTTCCTTCATTAGGCAAAAATCCCAGAAAATAACACATTTAAAAATTCCCCATCTTAGTGCTTGTCTGGGGGATGATGCTGGAGGAAGGAGCCACCTGGTCCAAGAGATGGCCAAACCCAGGCTCCCACACTTAAAAAAGAAGGAGAAAGAGAAATAGAAAGAGGGAGAGGGAGGGAGGGAGAGAAGGTGGGAGCGGGGACGAAGGAGAGAGAGAGAGAGAGAAGAGGGAATCCCATCTCTACAGATTAATAACTGTTCAACATTTCCGATCAAATCAGTAGCAACTGCTTAAATGCACTATGTACAGTTGCTACCTTAAGAATAAGATTATATTTCAAAATACTTGTTTGACACATTTAATTCCTGTGTATAAATGGCCAAGGTAACACATATAAAAAATGAGGTGATTTCTCACGGAGCGTCACAATTATTTTTTATTTTAAAATGAAGTAGAGCCTTGCATGTGTTAATTGAAAATTCAATATTCTGTAAGATTTACTTGGTATGACCATGACCAATTCATTGCAAATTTGACAAACACTGATGGTCTATCATCTGGTAGGCACAATTCTAGGCGAGTCTCCAAAACCTGAACAGTGATTACAAAGGACATGTTTAACCCAGTCCTCCAAAACAGGACGCTGGCCAGCGTGATCATGCCATCTCTAACGACATCATGCTAAAGGATTTAGGTTGCTTCTAACTTTGCTCACTGCTCTGTCCCCAGCGCCCAGGATTGTACCTGAAAAATGAGAGGCACTTAGTAAGTATTTGCATTATAAATGGGGAACAACTAAAGGGACAGTAGTAAGTGAAAACCGACGTGTAGTAGGGCTGCAAGTCATTCCTCAATAGCAGACCAAGGAGAATATTTTAGAAATAAACTATCCTAAAATAATATCAGCTAGTAATCTGTATCTGGATGGTTTGTGCTTTGTCTAGTTAACTGTGGAATCTTCCTATTCTGATTACATAATTTCAAAGGGGATGAAGTTAGAGAACATATTTCTTCGTGCTGAACAATGGAGTGCATCCTAGATTTACATGGGATGACGGAGGAGCAGAAATGTGTGCCCCATTTCTGTGGAAGTGAGGAAGAATGGGGATTGGTCTTCCTCTAGCTTATGGCTGCTAGACAAGCCTGCATTTGTAGGAAACACTTGGGGATGATGGTGTACCCCCTCCTAGGACAAATATTAATGGTATACTGCCATGCGAGGCAGAGCACAAAGGTTTGACAACCACAACTGCCACCAATTATTCGGAAATGGGATCTACAGCTAACACTTTTTTTTTAGGATGTGAAAAATGGGGGGAGGGTTGGTTAAAAAATATACCCATGCATATAAGGAACGACTTTCCTTGCAACAACTGGAATTACAGCTAGAATTTCTCTGTTTTTAAGAAAGTCACATAGTCTGGCAAAGCACACATACCACATCTGATAGCTGAGGGCTGTAGTAAAAAGTCGAGGACAAAAGCTATTTTCAGTGCCAGAATGATGATCAGGGCTGCGGGAGCAAAATCGAGCACATGCACAAGGACTCTGTACCTATTGGTTAGCAATGACATCATCCCTTTTCCTATTTCTAGTCAATTGAGCAGTCTGGAGCGCCCTCTCCTGGATGATATGAGTTTTATCAACCTTGTCCTCCTATAAATCAGAGAAGGCAGAATTTATCCGCAGCAATAAATCCTTAACTGGAAGCTTATGGCCTGCGTTGACTGGACACATGGTTGTGATAACCCAACATAGGAAGTCATTTAAGTCTGCCACACAATGCAGAAACCTCACGCATGAACGCGAGAGGACGTTCTCAGTACACACGTTACCTTGCGGCTGGAGAAGTGCCCATGTTTGCCCAGCTTGCTGTTCAGTGCTTCGAGGAACATTGCGTCGGTGACCTTGCCGACGTTCATGCAGGCGTCATCCAAGATGGCGATGATCCCCTTGTGCTGCTGCTCCACCAGGTCCACGATGATCTGATTGTTGAAGTAGTCGATCTGCGGGACACAGCACAGAGGCAATGCCCAAGGAAGCAGGGGCCGGACCCGGAAACACCAGTGCCCCGTGTGCATCAGTTACATCAAGCTCCCTCCATGGTAAACATGTGAATGACACCTGTGAGGTCTGACACTCAAATTCCCTCAGAGGCTTCTTTGCAACAGGAGACACTCTCTTCGATGAGAATAGGTCCAGGCAAAAATTATAAAGTGGGTAACGTTTCTCCCATCACTACCTGCTGTTTTAATCTTGTCTCCGCCTCCTGCACCTGACCCTGCTCCTTCAGACTCTCAATCCCCTAATCTGCTTGCCATTAACCACAAGACCCAGACTGCACTAAGTGCCAGCCAATAACCTTAAAGTATCATTTAACATATAATTTGACGAAGTGAAGGTATTATGTAGAACTTGCATTCTATGGACCTGGATTAAAACCCAAAGGAACATTCCCCTCCAGTTTCCCAAAGTTAACAAGCCTATATGGGTATAACAGAGTTTTGAAGTTTTTCAGGATATACCATAAAGAATGTAATGCTGAGATTAAGTATCTATAAGAGATAAGAATGAGCTTTTCATTTACTTCCATAAGCTGAATAAAGTTATAAGTAACTCCTGGCTTTTTGGCAACTGCAATACATGAACCGTTTACATCAGCGGTCGCCAACCTTTCAGACCTCATGGACCACCAGTGGTCCGTGGACCACCGGTTGGCGACCGCTGGCTTATACAACAATTCTCTCCTACACCTGTTCATTCTGCTGTCCTGCAGCTCACACATCACCTGCAGCTCACAGAGAGCACAGGGGCCTGGCTGGGTGAGCTGTGCCTCATGCAAGGATAGGCGGCTGATTGTCTTACATTTTAATCTGTGTGTGAATGTGCTGCATCTCATTGATGAGGTGCCTGAACTGAGAGCTGTCTCTATTAACTTCTGTAAGATCCATAACTCAAAATAGATTATTAAAGTGCCCTATTATTCCTGTTCCGTGCTATTTAAAATCAAGGACTCATGCCGGTTATTTGTCTGTGGTTTTCAGCTCCATTTCTAGTCTTTTAAATTCTTTTGTATTTTACAGACACAAAGTCTCAAAATGGGTGGCTTTTCCTTCCTTTTTTGTACTCTTCTGCTTTGTCTAAATCAGTGGTTCTCAATAGAGGGTGACTTAGGGCCCTGGGGATATTTGGCGACCTAATGTCTGCTGACATTTAAAACAATTTTTTTCAAATTTTTATTGATTTCAGAGAGGAAGGGAGAGGGAGAGAGAGATAGAAACATCAATGATGAGAGAATCATTGATCGGCTGCCTCCTGCACGCCCCACACTGGAGATCGAGCCCACAACGTGGGCATGTGCCCTGACTGGGAATCAAACCATGACCTCCTGGTTCATAGGTCAATGCTCAACCACCGAGCACACCGGCTGGGCTGTCTGCTGACATTTGTAATGGTCACATCTAGAGAGTGTTACGGGCCTCCAGTGGGAAGAGGCCAGGGATGCTGCTAAATAAACATCCTACAGTGCACAGGACAGGCTCACATCAAAGATAGGTCTGGTCCAAATGTCGCTAGTACAGCGACAGAGACGTCCTGGCCTAAATATTTACCTTTCTTGTAGCATTTATTACATTTCTAATTAGGGAGAAAAGTTATTTCCATCTTTTGGGAAAATATCCTTAAAATACTCAACAAGCAAGAACTCTATATTAATGAATAGCTGAAATTTTACACTTTGGGATGGGGGAGTTAGAGACTAAGTCTTTTGTCCCAGGGACAAAGAAGTAGGTTCCCTACAATTCTAATGATATAAACCAAAAGTGACTCATCTTTGTTAAAGAGTCTAGTAACTGTTAGTTCGTAAGTTTCATGCTGCTTAAAGTAGTGGCTTCCAAACCAGCAGCAACTGGCATCTCCAGGAGGTTTCTTAGGGGACCCAGGGGCATGCAGAGATGTGGGGGGGGGGGCAGGGTCTGGGCCCCCCAGTCCCAGTCCAAGTTAAGCAGCTTTGTGCCAAGACTCAACAGTGAAACGTGACCTGCCAACTATGGCACCAAAGGCTTTTAAAATGGAATCACTTAGACAACCAGACATGTGTGCCTCCCAGTGAGAGTTCACACACCATCGGTAGAAAAACACTGGCCCCTGAACCTGGTTGAGATTCTAGATCTAACAACCACGGACATACAAAAAACAGAGAAACATAGTTGATGACAGCTCAGGAATCTGATCAGCAAAAACCAGACTCAGGAAATACAACGAAACAAAGGACCCGTAATCTTCAACAAAAGATGACAAGGAGAGAGAGAGAGAGAGAGAGAGAAGGAGGGGCTGACTGGGTGAAGAAAATCTATAGATATGTGAGAGGCCTATTAGCCAACCATAAGAGCTTTATTTGGATCCAAATTCAGACTGTAAAAACAAAACAAAAGAACTCTAAGACAATTGAGAAAAATGTGAAATCTGAACACTGACTGAACATGTGACACGAAGGAATTACTGTTAATATTTTAGGTGTGATAATGGTATTGTGCTTATGGTTTTTAGAGAAATATACTGAAATATTTACAGATGAAATAAGTCACATTATTGTCACATCACAGTCTGAGAATTGCTTCAAAATGACCTGGGGGTGGGTGGGTACAGTCCACTGATGACTGTTAAAGTGGGGTGATGCATACATTAAGTTTATTATATTATGATCTGTGCTTTTAGAATATATATTTGAAATTTCTGTAAAAAAAAAAAAAAAGAATGAATCACTATGTTCAGAAGTCTGGGGTTCTTAAAGGAAATACTTGCCCGGAATAGTGATTGTCATCTAGGGGGAGCTGGCATAGGGTCAGGCTTCTGCTCTCCCGAGGTCACGTATTTCATGGTTTATTTCACTAAAAATTTTTGCGTGTTCAGTGCTTTTGCTCCTTTTTCAGATGTTTGAAATCGCTTCCTGCAATTGTTGACTTTTCTCTTTATCAACCATGTCGGTGGAATTTGATACTCTGATGATTAAAGGATATTTTTGACCAGTATCTCTGAATCACATCTGGGTAGCAAGTTTTATGATTCAATTTGCTATAAAAACCTAAGCCTCAGTTTTAATTGGGTGTTGTACAACACATTCATTCTGAGAATGCTGCATATAAACTTCGAGTTACATCTGAATTGTGTTGTAAGAGTTCACTCCTTAAATCAAAATGGTAGGTAATCCTATTATAAAGTCATAGCACACTTTGGTTTATTTGAAATAGGCAAAATTGATACTGATATACTTGGAGAAAATTTTACGGCATTCTAATGTTTAACAAATGCAAGGCAAAGAGGCAATCTGAGGCAGGGACCCTAACATTGCTTCCTTTTTCCGAATGAGAGGAGAGGGACCGTGGGAAGGTAAAAAGGAATATAACAGTGATTAAAATATGGCCTTTCGAATAGTTTTTTCACTGCTATCATGCTGAATATCACAAAATAAATACTGACTTTATTTTTATTGTCTCTACTCTTTGACAAGAGGATAAACACAGTTTTATAAACACAGAAACTCAGGGACACTCCGATGCTTTTGCATGGCTCAAGTCTGTTCTTAAAATTGTTTAAAACAAAAATTCGAAAGAAAAATTACTAGGTCTCATTTCCATCATGATTGTCATGCTTTATAGCGGTGATCTCTGGATTTGCACCCGAGACCAGGCCTGCGTTCTGGTGACGTTATTACCAAGCTAGTGTGACTCTGACAAATATTACAGTTCACAAAGAGCCACGAAAAGAGAGGTGAGAGTGGAATTGTGACATGCAGGAAAGAAACGGAAATGAACTGAATGTAAGTGTTTCACGCAGGGATTTCAGAGAACAGGAATAACATCCACTGAGGACAATACCATGTCATGTAGCTAACAAAGCCGAGAAGGAGGAAAAAAAAAAAAGGAGTAACAGGAGAAAAAGAAAGAAAAAGAGGAAGGAGAAGAAACTAAATCTGGAAGCAAAGTGCAGCCCGTTTAAGGCAAAAGTTGCCGCTCTGAATAACTTATAAATGAGGCTGAACTCTTAACAGACATACGTGAACCAGAAAACCCATGTGGTACCCGCCATAAAGTGGAGATGTTAAGGTTACTGATTAAAACTCAGCATTTTCTGGGCACCAACAAGGGAGTCTTTTAAATTAGGAAAAACCCATCTACCTACCCTGAAAACGAAATGTATTTACACATCCCCAAAAGAAAAGGTGAAATGTTGTTGTTTCATGTACCCAGGCAGGTTTTTAAAAATGCCTTTTAAAAACTGGTAGGATTTGGCATTATCATCATGTGTGACGGGCCTGAGGCATTGTCCCCAGAGGTGCACTCACGTGCTTCCAGGGGATCCCTTCTCGCTGGTACTCCTCTTGTTCTTGCTTCAGAACCAGCTGAATAAATAGCTGCTGCAGTTTCTCGTTGCAGTAATTGATGCAGAATTGCTCAAAGCTGCAAGAAAGGAATACATTATGTTTAAACAAATAAAAAGTAAACAGCAGGCCCTCGCTGGTTTGGCTCAGTGGATAGAGCGTCGGCCTGCAGACTGAAGGGTCCTGGGTTCGATTCTGGTCAAGGGCACTTGCCGGGTTGCAGGCTCAATCCCCAGAGGGGTGGGGTGGAGGGTGTGTGTGTGCAGGAGGCAGCCAATCAATGATTCTCTCTCATCATTGATGTTTCTCTCTCTCCCTTCCTCTCTGAAATCAATAAAAATATTTGAGATAAGAAAAAAAAAAGTAGGAGAACCAAGATGGCGGCATAGGTTAACGCCGGAGTTTGCTGCCTTGAACAACCATTTCAAAAGTGAAACTAAAAGACGGAAGGGACATCATCCAGAACCACAGGAATGCTGGCTGAGTGGAATTCCTACAACTAGGAGGAAAGAGTAACGCATACGGACACTCAGAGGAGGCGCAGA